AAGAAATTGTTGAAGGCCTTGCTAGCTGCAAGTAAGAAAGCAATCACTAGAAAATGGCTGTCTGTTGAACCTCCTCAACTGTTTTACTGGTATGACATTGTTCATGAAATTTATATTATGGAAAAGCTAACTTATTCCTTAAGAATTCAGATTGGCAAATTCTGTCAGATTTGGTCTAAGGGGCAAGTATATATAAGACCCCGGCGACCAGAACTTATGTAGGTTTTTTTTATTGACCTACTTTTTATTTCCTCTCCTCTTAATTAAAGAAAATGCTTCCTCTTTTGTAATGTAAATAGTTTTTTAAGGAGCTAATTTGAAGGGAAAGTCGGAAATTTTCATGTTTTTTTAGGTGGTGACCAGCCCCCTTTTTATTAATTAATTAATTTTTTATTTATTTATATATTTTTTTATTCATTTATTTATTTTTTTTCCCTTTTTCTTCACAATGATTATTGATCTGGATGGTGTTATCAAAATATGCTTACCATAAGAAAAGACTAGAAAAAGAGGTGTGTGTGTGTATGTATGTAATTGTGTATTTATGCATATATAGGTATATAAACGTATACAAACATTGAAAGCAAAGCACCTGAATAGGCCCATAACAGAACTGTCCTTAGATAACCATAATTGTGGTGCCAATTGATAATTGTAATTTGGTATTTTCTTCTATGTTCTTTTCAAAAGACTTTCCCCAGTAAAAAGAAAATAAAAAAAAAAACTCCCCATTAATACTCTTTGTTTTAGGAGAAATGTTGGATGAGCAGATTTCAACATACGATTGGACATTTCATGTACAGTCTATAGCAAAGATCACCTGGTGATTACAACACAATATTAAAGTAAATTATATTAACAAACCCAGTTAAAAAAAAAGTTGAGATTTGCTAATGCCAAACCAAGACAGATGCTGGCTTTTGAACTTCACACTGGTAAAAATCAGAAGGCTCCAGATGTTAATTTCCATAAACAATCTGAAAGGTGGACTCTATTTCTCTGGATACCCTGAATCTTCAAAATGTTATTATGCACTGTAGAGGGTGAGATACCTAAAATCCTTGCAATCACACGCTGATGTTGTTTTTAAACTGTTGGGTTTTTTTCTTGATGTGTTTCTGATAAAGTGGCAAGCCTTGATCCATCCTCACTCACAAAGGACTAGGGTTTTAATAGAAGAATGACTGCATCACCTGTTGATGGTTCTTGAACATACATTATGTAACAACTTTACCTTTAAAATAACAGCTTCAAAAGCATTTTGATTTCCTCCTTGACTAATAAAAGTGAGAACAGTGTCTCACTGTCACTCTAGGCTCAGAACGCCTGCTATCGCACTACATAACTTTGGTGGAGCGTGCACAAGACCTTTCAAGAGAACTGCATAACACTTTATGGCACCACATCACACACCAACAACTATGCGTCTTCAGCTAGCTTTAAGAAGCTGCTAGTACGGTATTCCCAGTACAGACAGAATGGCAGAGGCAGTGAGGAGACAAAAAAGAGGAGAGAAAAAGAGAGAGTGACAAGAGATCGGACAAGAGTAAATCATGAACTGGCTTTTACTCGTTTGCGATCAGATGCCAAGACAGTCTTTTTCCATCTTCTTGTTGAACTAGTAAGTAATAACTTACTAGCTGGCTTGTCTTGTGTTGCGCTTGCTTGATGTTTTGCTGTGTTAGTAAAGTTGTCGAATTGCTTGTATCTTGTCTTCGTACTATTTTCATTTAAAAAAACATGAAGCAGATTTATAAATCACTGATTTCTGTTTATTATTAATATCGTTCCAACATTGTGGAATTGTAATTTTGAAATAAACTGTTCCCCTTTACACCAAGGGGAATTTTTCATTAAAAAAGCAGCATATCGTTACTGTCACACACAAGCATCTCAAAAATATTACGTTATCAGAAGAGGGCAAAAACGTTTTACTTTCAATGTAAGTTAAAGTAAAGATATTTTACTTCAATAAATTACGGAATGAATCTATTGGTCCATTCATTATAAAATTTTCATACAATGTAAAAGACAACTGCCGCACTCACATGATGGAGAAAAAAAAAACAAAACACATTTTCCTTTGGACAGCATCTCAAGCATCTGACAGAACACTAAAAGAAAAAGAGAGGACAAGGACAACCAAAGGTATATTCCTATTAAGGGTGTAAAGATGTGATTTTTGATTGATGGAAGTCACTGTTCAAACAGATTTTGTGTGTTAAAAATGTCTTGATTCTACACATCACTACACGTGTATGCAAATGACCGACTGCCCTTAATCAAATCATGTGTTTTGTTAATTTTCTAAGTGAAAATAACTTCACCTACTCTCTACAAGGAACAAACTTACATATGGCATTTCTTCAAATCTTAGTGCACAATTTCTATTTATTTGCTCAGTTTTTCCCACTACGTTAAACTGTGCAAATGAACAGTAATTGTACGATAAAGTGTACAGAAGTTTGTTCTCTGTAGAGGACGTATACATGCGTATAATTAGATCAGAGGCACCATGACGTTTGCATGCGACTGTGTGGTAAAAGTTGCTTTGCCTCTTAATCCAAAACAACCTTGATGGATCTTCTTGCAAAACAAAAGACTGCTATGTAGCATGTCCTTGTGCAAAGTAGTCATCTTATACAACAGTGCAATTGAGCTACAAACAAAACAAAAATAGATAAGACGCACCCTGATGTCTAGTTTTGATCACCGACAACGATTTCCATGAAATATGGTACAAGACAGACCCTCAGAAGAGACTGAGGGGTGTAAATTTTTTTTATCCATGTTTTGATTGTAAATTACACCATTCACTTTCATGGCTTTCTTTTTAGACAAAAACACAGGTTTGTATTTCTGCTTAATTAGACCAGGTAATTAAGGTTCCTGTTGAGAAAGTCATAGGTCTTATTTCAGTGAGCCATAATTGGGTTTTGTGCTAATGTATATTACTTAAACCGCCCCAGGCCTGATTTTGAGTGAGATCGAGGCTGCAGCTTGTCGGTTGAAGTCCCTGAAAACAGCAGAAGGGCCTAAAGCTTATTCATCTGACAGTCTGCAGATTAAATCCATACTGGTGATGTGCACCCCGCTGACTGGCTGGCGGCAGATTCATCCACAGCCCATCAGGAGCTGGCACCTACAGCTCGCAACACCGGCACGTGTGCAAATGTGCCAATCTCCAGAGTCTAGGCCAGCACACACCTGCGACACTTGCATCCGGCACACAGCAGCAAACAAGTTCATATGAAACTACTGTCCTGTCACTCAAACTAGAATGCGACACTACTGTCACATCACTCATACTGTCGTATTCATACTTCTGTAAAAGCATGAAAGCATGAAATTGCCATTAGGCAGGGAGAGAAATGGAAAAAGGAAACGGCTTCATTATTAATACTATTTGAAATTCCTGCACCTATTATTCAGCTTGAGAACAAAAGACTAAACAACGTTTGTAAAATCAGGGTTGAAAATGAGCGAACAGATAAACAGCACTTCAGCTAGGCACATCCTAAAGCCAACTGAGGCTACAGCCTCCTTATCTTTTAGGTGCAGGGTCTACACACACATTTACATCAAACAGAATCAGCATATTGCATTAGAGACTTACATGCTACAGGCTTACAGTGGGACAGCTTTACACTCTCTCTGGGAGAGAAGATTGACTGTTTGAGTTTTGACATGGTCAGCAAATCACAAGAATCCCAGGTCAGGCCTGTGGCAGACCATCACAATCAGAAAAGCTTCACAAGTCACAGTTACATAATTCATAAGTACCAAACAGATCCATTCCTTTAACCACAGCTCCATCCACAACTCCACTTAGGTTGGAAGATATTTGGTCCCCCCCCCGCTTCTTTTTTTTAAATAATGCCTTGCAGCATATATCTGCCAACCACTGGGTGTACTCAATGGGCTCTTGTATGAATGGTTCAATTATGACTTTGTGACTATATTTAGCTGTTTTCAAGATGTTGTGCAATCAAAACACATGACTTTAATAAACACCATCTGAAAACCTGACAGCCTAGGGTAACAGTATCTTAACGTGAAATTGTCTGATTCCAGCTTTGTCTTACAATGGTCATTTCATTAGCGTTGAAATTTGGACAAAAGCTTGTGTACCACTAAACTACAAAGTTACCACCAGACCCTCTTGCTCAGTAACATATACAGGCCTTGTCACGTTACGGTCCACAAAACAAAAAGCACCACAAATGCCACATCACTTATCAATGATGGTATATACAAAAAGCACAATAACTATTGATAAGCTACTGAGGTCAATAACTTCATTAATTCTCCATTAATTGAACATCTGGCAACTGTAATATTGGCACTTGTGCTTTATAAGGATAAATATTTAGCTCAGTTTAATCCCCACTCCAATCATTAACTCATACCTCTGAACAAAGGGCTGATTAAACCTCTTATGTGTCCAATGAAGCACACACTGGGGGCTTACTGTATGCAGGCTACATCTATTCATCTCAACATGAATGACACACAATCATCCTCTGAATATGAAAAAGAGTTTCAACATAATTAGTCTTACAACATGCATTTAACCCTCTGGCACACTCACAAGGCTTATAAAGATTTCAGACATTCAGTGTGACTCTGGACATGCTGCAATTCAGTCTGGACCTCCTGCCATCAGCCACTCAATCATTCCTCTTGACCGGTCATCAGTAAGCAGTGAACTTTTCAACTGTCAGGTTCTCTGATAAATCCATATTCTCACAGTGCCATGGTAAAAAGCTAAATGAAACAGAAAACCAGGCAAGACCTCTAGCAGTTACAAAAGGTGTCTACTGCTCATTCCACAGATTCACACTGATGACAATTAAAGTGCTGTACAATTTTAACTGATGGCTCTTCTGTGCTCAACAGACAGGTACAGAAATACAACTGTGCCAGAAAACTGTATTCCTTACACTGCATCTTTGTGATTATATAAGTAAGAGAGTTTATCAAGGGTTCTGTAGACTTACAGTTCATCTCGTTGCCTCTGTGACAGCACCATGGTGGCAGAGGGGAGGGAGGGGGGGGTCAGGTGAAGGGCGTGCAGCAGCTGCTGTCTCCCTAGCAGGAGTTGACTGATCGGACGCAGACTCCGGCTCACAGGGAGGTCTGCCACTTATAACGTACTCTTCCTCTTATAGACTGGACGCAGGAACACCACGAACGGACAGCCTGCAGACATTCACCTGCCTGAATGACTGTCACTGTATCTGTACAGAGAGAGAGAGAGAGAGAGAGAGAGAGAGAGAGAGAGAGAGAGAGAGAGAGAGAGAGAGACAGCAATTGAAGGGTGAGATGATTACAGACTAAAACAGCCCCAGAGATCCCCTAGAGGGGGCAAAGGTGCCAAGAGGAATGACCCACCAGAGAAGTCATCATTTTGGCTTAGTGTGATAGTGACTATAACTGGCACTGACCTAACCCTGCTCCCTAAATCTTCAGGCAGACTGAAAAGGGCTTAAGGGTTAACACAAACATGTCATCAAGGGGTCCATCTGCTCATTCCTCTCACAGATACACATCTCACTCTTATTCCCTAGACTTGGCCTGCAATGATGAGCATTGTTATGGACTCCTGCTGCCCCTGTTGGAAGCTTCACACACACGTAAAATGGGGACTGATGACCCAGATACCAGCATCAACCTACTTCACCACTGCAACAGCATGCCCTGCATATCAGCAACAAATATGTTTCTAAATTCCTCTTACAGGTCAAATTATACTATTACAATACAAAAAAATAAAAATACTACCACTACTAATACTACTACTACCAACAATAATAATAATAATAATAATAATAATAATAATAATAATAATAATACAAAATGACCAATATGCCCTTCTGTCTCTTCTGAGAGTGGCTAATTTTTTCATCTTTTGTGGAGATAACCATCAAAGATCAAAACTAGGCATCTGGGTACATCCTTAAGGAAGGGGTTATGCTATGCATACACATGCTCAAATGACTAAACTTTCTTTCCTAAAGAAGCTTATTAATTCTAGGGGTTCCATTTTTACTGAAGCAAATAACAGAAATGGCATTTTACAATTTTGTTTCATTTCCCTCCAAACAAAAAAAAAGTAAGAAAAGGGAAAAAGAAAACCAACAATGCCACCCACACTCCTCATCTCACTCACCCCATCAATGAAGGATAAAAAAATACAGACCATTGGTTTAAACATGGAGCATTTTTGACCAAAAAAAAATGTTCAAAACTGAAGATGGAACTTAAACACCTCACTGAACCTGAAAAGGTGAACTGTTACACCTCTACTATTTTCAGAGCAGGATTAAAGATTAAAATAGGAAAATTAGAGATAAACAGAAGGTTAAGCTTTCTATCACCAATAGTCGGTGTTAGGACAGAAAGCACAGTACATGTAATAAAAAAGCAAGCTTCTTATTCCTGCAGCAGCACAGAAATCTAGTTAGACCCCCCATACTGTTCATAAATGAAGTCACGTCTCAACACCAGCAGGGCGCATGCAGCGTTGACACAAAATATTATCAAAATTCTGTATTTCCACATAGTATGAATTAAGTGCTGATGCCACTGCACAAAAACTCAGGGACAACAGAGATAAGCCACAACATTATTATTGCTGTGTGAGATGGGATATAATTCAGTACCTTGAAGCTCACACCAAAATAGTCTGGGGAATTGAGAACACCTTTTATCAGCAATGGAATTACTAGGAGGCAGATAAATTGTATGTACCTTATATAAGCAATCCTCTCAGAGTGGGTCTGCTCTATAGGACAGGCTTTTGAGAAAAAGGGGATACCATAAAACAGAAACCAGAAAGGGGAAGAAAACATGCAAAATTCAAAACCAGCCACAAGATCTCTGTTAAGATCTAACAACACTTTAGACTGCCTCTGAAAACGTAAGCAATGTTAAGTATAACGAAAGCACAACAGTTTTGCTTCTGGAAAAGAAAGCTTTTTAGATTATTTTTTAAAAAGACAGTTTAACAGCAAGAGCAGGAGTGCCATGAATGTGAATGAGACAGTATGTCCACAGAAGGGAGGGGGCACTCTTAGCTTCTCACACTGTAACTGGAACCACCAGAGAGAACAGCAGCCCTCTGAATACTAATTCCTGCTAAATGTTACCAACAGAACAGAAGCAGGCAAAAATGGTCATCTAAAGAAGCCTGATCAAAATCTGACAAAGATTTTTACATTTTGTTGTTTCAGTACACCTGATTCAAGCAAAAACATCTAAGATAAACAGCTGTAGCAATCACTGGATTTCAGATGCTTAAAAAATGCCACTAAAACAAAAATACAGATGCTCATTTCGACTACTACTGTTTTCATATACATACAAACTGTATGGGATTTTACATCATATTCCAAATATTTCCAATAGCAGTGTAACTTTTAGTATGTCTGGTGTCACTCTGCGTCACATGGCGCTAACCCTGTCATTACAAAACACTGGTTGGAATTCCACTAAAACACAATCTACCAAAGCCCAAGAACTGCATTACTTCAAACAAAGACTCAGCAAGGTCTCTTAGCAACTCCCTCTGTGCTTCAGAACCACAGACCAGCAGAGGAGTCCAACAGTAATTACACATTATCGCTATAAAAAGAAAATCTACAACATGCTATACCTAATATGAAGCCTGGGAATCAGAAACAATGCAGCAAATCATTTTAGACTCATTTTATCAAGACTGTATAATCATTAGGAAAGTTTTATTATACAGACACTGTCAAATTAACAGCCAAGCAGAAAGTCAACCTATGTGCATACAGATTAAGTACTGTGCGGCATGATAAATAATTTTAATAGAAAAATGTCCATCAGAGTGACATTTAACCAACAGCTAGGACAATTACTCCAGAACGAGAAAAGAAAAAAAATTAAAAGCTCTACTGGCAATAAATTTGGGCATCCTTGGGTAACAAGACATTTGTATTTTGTGCACATACAGTCAGTCAGACACATAACAGACATGTTGAAGTAGTAGTAGTAGTAATTTATTTTGGTCCTTCTTTATAATTTTCCAAAATAGTTAATTAAAATTAATAAGACAGAAAAACAAAACAAATAAATATTGCCCGAAAGGTGGAGCTGAAGTTTTAGCTCATTTGGCCTACCCTTTTTACCTAACATGTTCTAATAGACAATCCTTTCACTACTAGCTTTAGACAATACAAAGACAAAACAAAAACAGAAGCAAAAATAAGACTCCAAACATTTCATATACAATAATGATCATACCTCAGTTTATTTGTTTACTACCTTGTTTTTAAACTTTTTTATTTAAAAAGAGAACTACACATTCTCAATTCCTTGTCACAACTATTCCACGTTTACCCCTTTTAAAGCATGTACATTAATAAATAGTATGTTGGTTCAATTGATTTACAATTCTTATAGCTTTCTTCTGTGGCATGAAAACTGGATTAGTGTCAGTTTTGTATATCTCTCCCATACCTCCACACAGTAGGTTACACATGGAACTATACAAAAATACAAAAAAAATTTTTGAAGTGGTTTGCTAATGCTGACCTGAGACCACTGTATATTCTATATTCTCAGGCATTAAGAGTAGGGCTGGTGCAATTTACTGGCATTGATTGCTATTCATGGTCTTTTCAGCTTTTTTCTTTCTTTTTTTTTATTAAATGTGCCACTAGCACATCATGTGAGCTTGTTTTTATTATGCATAGAAGAGGAGCCATGAATATTGACTAAAGGGCTGCTTGTAACCCTAACCTACAGACTGAGGATCCTCAACATTTGCACCACCTTTCTCCAACAGCCCATTTTCACGGCAGGTAAACCTGCTAAAGCTGTACAAAATAAACATGCTTGTTATGGTTTAGCAGTTCTATGGTTAAGTAAACCAAAATTTAACAGCTTATGAACTGCCTCTTGTTAAGTTAGCCTATATGCTACTGTCATTATGATGGGCTAATCTTTAACAACTTTGATGCAATCGCTACTTCAAAAGCATTTAAGCATCTACTTACTATGTTTTGTAAGAGAAAACATTACAGCGCCTGTGTGGAAAGTTACAGAATCTGTTTACATTAGCATTATTAAGATTGCTCTTGTTTTAATGAGTTGCTCGAACTGCGGTTAACTGTTTTTTCACAACCCTGTGAAAAATGTAAATACCAACAGAATGCAATGATGTACAAATCATGTAAACCTATATTTAATTTAAAAGTAGTCCAAAAACAACATATCAAATATTAAAACTGAGAAATTGTATTGTTTTTGAAAAATATACACCCATTTTGAATTTAATGCCAGCAAAACGTTCCAAAGAAGTTCCAGAAGTCTTGCTTGATACAAGATACTAGCTGCTCAACAGTTCGGGATCTCCTTTGTCGTATTTTTGTTTCATAATGCACCAAATCTTTTCAATGGGTGACAGGTCTGGACTGCAGGCAGACCAGTTTAGCACCTGGACTCTTTTACTACAGAGCCATGCTGTTGTAATACATGCAGAACACAGTTGAACATTGTCTTGCTGAAATAATCAAGGTCTTCCCTGAAAAAGTCATCATCTGGATGGCAGCATACGTTGCCAAAACTCGTATAAATCAATCAGCATCAATGGTGCTTCACAGATGTGCAAGTCACCCATACAATGTGCACTAATGGACCTCTTTACCATCTTGGATGCTGGCTTTTGAACTGTGTGCTAATAACAAGCTGGGTGGTCTTTAGCCCAGAGAATGCAATGTCCATGATTTCCAAAAAGAATTTCAAATTTTCATTTGTCAGAACACAGGACACGTTTTCACTTTGTCCCAGTCCATCTTAAATGAGCTTGGGCCCAGAGAAGGCGGCAGTGTTTCTGGATCCTATTCATATATGGTTTCTTCTTTGCATGATAGATTTTTAACTTGTATTTGTGGATGAACTGTGTTTACGGATAATAGTTTTCAAAAGCATTCCTGCGCCCATGCAGTGATTTCCACTACAGAATCGTGTCTGTCTTTAATGCAGTGCTGCCTGAGGGTCGGAAGATCACAACCAGCCAACACTGGGTTTTGGCCTTGTCCCTTGCATACAGAGATTTCCCTGGATTCTCTGAATCTCTTAATGATAGTACGTACCATAGTTGATGAAATCCAAGTTCTCTGCTATTTTACACTGAGAAACATTATTCTTGAGTTATTACACTATTTGCCCAAGGGGTCTTTCACAGAATAGTACACCTCTCATCATGTTTACTTCTGAAAAACTCATCTTTGGGATGCTCATTTGATACCCAATCATGTTACTGACCTAGTGCCAATTAACCAATTAACATTACACAACATTACCAGTCTTCTGTTGCTCATTTCAACTTTTTGGAAACAAGTTGCTGGCATCAAATTAAAAATGGTCATATATTTTTCAACAATAAAATACAACATCAGATTCAACATTTGATATGTTGTCTTTGTACTATTTCCAATTAAATATAGAGTTTAAATGATTTGTACATCACTGTATCCCGTTTTTATTTACATTTTGCACAGCGTTCCAACTCTCTGGAAATGAGGTTCTGGAAGAAATACCCTGTACTGTCCAAAGGCCTTTTTGTGATGAAACTGTATTTTTAAACTGTATTGATTAATCAATCGTTAGCAGCATCTCTACATAAGATTAAGGTTTGTGAAGAATGTAAAGGTCCTACATTGATGTGACTGCTACAGTCAGTCAAACTATTCGCGTCTTCATTATGAACTGACTGAGCAATAGAAATGAGGAATCTATGTCACTCATGCTCTTTTTACAGACTCCAGCTGTGGATTAATATCACCAAAGAGGAACAGTGTTATGAGCACAAACTAGTGTTGAGAATTAATGTCACACCTCGTTTAGCTTCACTTAAATAGCAAAAATTCAAAGCACAAATCTTCACTGTTTCAAAGCCTTTCCTTAACACAGTGGACAGAACAGTAGATGGTGCGTCTCCAATTGATTTACTAGGCAGATTTATTACTGTTCTCTCCATGCAAGGAAAAGACTGCCATGAAGTCTGTTACAGCCTGTCTTTCATTTTACTCTAAGAGGAAAACCAAACTGCTGCTTTGTACACATTGCTTTGTGTTAATTAGAAAAAAATATCCTCATAAATGATGATACATTGATATGCTAAAGGAAGAGAAGCCTTGAGCACTGAGCACCAGTATTAACTGACTGATAACATTATTTTAAACTGTCTACTTATTTTTGAATACACATAGTCTTGATACACTTCTTTGAGCAATCCCAAATGTCCTTCACTGAAAATGTTTGAGCTGTGTTTGTAAATGCTTGACCTACAAGGTTTACTATTACCATAAAGCAATACTGATGTACAGGGCTACTGAGACAACTGACAAAAGCAAACACTTTTCTCTGTGCTTCTGTGTGAACTAGCAAAGACAAGCAACCAACAAGACAGGGAGTAATGATGACGTCTGTCAGGCCCTTGATGGAATTTCCATAATGATCACTATGCATTTCTGCCAAAACACTGCTGAGTGAAAACTCCTCTGAATGGTAGACTACCAGAAACCAAAAACAGTGCCAAGCAGAAAATCAGCTAGGATACATGACACCAAAATAAGGCGCGCCCAAACTGCATGAGCGCAGATGCTGGGCCATCAGCCGAAACGCTTTCCCTGAACAGTAACTACTAGCGGTGTCACTGGAGCTCCACCCTTACTTGGCTGCTTCAACGATCCACCATGGCCCAAAGTCTAGCTCATGTTCCGCTCAACAGGCCCGAAATGAACGATTACCTGGACATCGGTTACGAAGTCATGTCAGCAAAACACGTGTTAGTAAGCAGGTCACAGCATTTCAACCCATCATTTTCATGTCTGTTTTGTTTGCAGTAGCTCACAATCCAGTGCGGCCCACTGCTGCACTGTTACAGAAGAGGATGACTCGTGTAATGTACTGGCTAGCTAATTAGCTCATACCTTCACGGCTGAAAACATTCTTCTAACCAGGTTAAACACCAGATAGCTGGTTTGACATTACCTACACTGCACTGTGGCCACTAAGTACCCGAGTCACTGAGCTACCTAGTATTAGCTAGCAGCAACTGCGTTATTGATCACCGCTAAACACCAGCAGCTAACAACATTTAATAGCGGGCCACTGCGTGTAATGCTAAAGAAAACAGCTGACTTTTTCACTCAGCACCAAACACAAGCTAATAACTAACCTGACTGTATGCGCTACAAAACGGACTAGCTATCCAGAGAGGAAAGCGTTCACCAGCCAGTTGTGCTAACAGCTAGCTAGCTAACAACACGGCCCGGCAAATGATGCCTGCCTGATTTTTTAATGTACGGCTGCAGTCAACAACTGTTTACAACAAACTATCACCGTAAATAAGAGTTTCTCCGTTTATACAGTCAGTTAAGGCTATGTTAAGTGGTCTAGCCGGATGTGAATGGTGTTAATTCAGCTGTGCGGCCGTTAGGGTCGTTAGCTAGCCAACTGTTGATAGCGCCGCGCAGCCTCCAGATCGTGACATTGATGATGAAGCGACGTGTTGATCCACCGGCGGCTAAAAAAAACTAGCTAACAGCTACACCGCAAAGCATCCAGCGCCCAGCAAAGCAATCAAATTTACAAACGCCAAAACTAGCAGACTTACCAACCCAGAACAAAGCAGCAGGTTCAATATATATAATGAGATTTAAACAAGCAAAAAAACAAGCCTCCGAACTATTTCTCTAACAGCCCGTCCGCCATTTTGAGACACTGAGCAAGGAGGACGAGGTTGAAGTTGGCTTCCTATTCGCCAGCTTTCTTGTTCGAATTTTCCCGTTCCCCCTTAAATGGTGCAGCAATTGCGTTCTGGAACCTAACGGCTGCACCATTTAAGATGGAACGGGACAAATCGAATAAGAAGCTGACTTCAGCTTCGTTGCAAGGAGGGGCAAAAAATTAGAGCAACTTCTGTTTTCTTCTGTTACACCAGGTCACAATATTACGAGAAAGACTCTTACCCTACAGTGCCACCGCTGAATAGGTATCCACAGGGCAGGCTGGAATGGAGAGCCGATAAACAGTGTGCGTGGAAGTAACAGTAGCTCCCGCTCCGCGCCTCTCCTCACCTCTCCGCTCCTCTCTGCTTTAGCTACTAGCGGCTACCGTTGTTTTCTCCACAGCATTGACCAGCACTGACTGGGCATGCGCGTGAGGCGCCGAGCTGTCAGCAACGCGCAGCGCACGCCCTTGACTCCCTCACCCTCATTCTACCGTCCTCTTAACGTCGGTGTGGATCGTAACCAGTGAAATCTGCGGTCGCAAACTCAGCTAGTTCTGCTGTTTTGACACCGGAGAAAACAACGTCAGTCCGATTTGTGCCGTTTTAACATCGAGCTCGATGTGAGAGCGTTTACTATTATGACGTGCAGTGATGTGGAACGCTGAATATGACGTCAACCGGTTGAGTGTTTATATAATATATTAGACTGAATGTGAGAAGCAAACGCGTCCCGAGTAAATATGAAGGCTTTACGGATGGATATGATATGGAAGGAAGGATATGATTATTAGAAGGAGAAATCAGAGACACTGACTGGCAGAAGCGGGATTATAATAACGGCTACTTATCTATTTGGTACCTCAAGCACATTCATGGACTTTTAGTTAGCACTGTAGTTAAAGGGGAATTCCGCCAATTTTTCAAAATTTCTGAATAATTACGTCATTGAGGAACAGTATTCAGGGTGGTTTGATGTGAAATGGTTCACTGTAGAGAAACTTGTTCTGATCTCTTTACGGTAGTGGTGATAGATACCAGGGGTCACGATGTCTGAAACACAAATATAGCCGTTATTATCCCGAACGACCTGTGAACCTACACGTGCCTTCTGAAATTTGTGGAGTTCCCCTTAAAGTCTCATTTGAAGCTGCTCATGATGGAGAAATTAGCCTACATGACCTTGACTTAATCTAAAATATACCAATTGAAGAATACAGCCAACCTAGCATTTACAAAATCTCTAGACACAGGGGCAGTAGACAGGAAAAATAACTTTTTAAATATGTAAATGTCTTATCACGTTATATAGTTGGTAAACAAACAAAATCATAAGAATAATGTACAGCCTGTACATACAAATAGCATTAAAATTACAGGATATGAGAAGACATTTCATGGAATTACACAGAATACTCAAACCTGCTGGGGTTTCTTCAGTATGTAATTATGAGTATATAAGTTGAAAATCAAATCTGCTTTCTGAGAATATTTGTGTACTTTACTGGATTTCTTTCAACTTCATTTTTGAACTAAGCTGATTGCTTAAGTGTGTATCCAAAGATGAGTAGAATTTCCCACCATACAATGGCTGGGTAATGTAAATACAGCATGCACACACAGTTGTTACAACTCAAACCATTTGTTATTTGCTAGTTTCTTTGTTTATTTTAATACAAAAGCATATTCAGATATCCGAGATCAAAAATAATTAGATTGTTATTTATGGGCAGCAACAGACAGGTACCACATCAAAGAAAACACAGCAGACATACAAAGGGCCAAACACATCTTGCAGGTTAGAGACAGAGGGATCCAAATAGAAAAAAAGAAAGAAAAGTCCTCAGCTCCCAAACACACAGAGAGGTACAGTTATGCATGTACATTAGACAGCAGGTAACGCTGAGGTGGACTGAACAGACGCTGCGTCTTACTCCAGACAGGCTTTCCATCCGGGACACAGCGAATCATGCTGACTGACTGTTGGACTCTTGGATGACAGCTGCGGTTAGAGCTTTATGGCTGAGTTTGGGGCTAATATCCGATCGTATCTGTGTGAGCAAATATATGAAAGCTGTGCCAGACTAATAGTTTCCAAATGTGTTCCGTATTTTCCTTGTTTTTGTCTTTTAAGGTTGAAACAAAAAAAAATATTTTGTTTCATATTCAAACTTTCAAACAGACATTGACATTTGTAGATAAAATACAGGATGATTAGTTTGAAGGGTTAGAAAGCTCAGCATATCAAACTGAAAAAGGTTTCAGTTTAAAACTGTAATCCAAAACGCTAGATTGCCGCACCCGCAAAATTACAACCAGCTAGTGCTACGTATCTAGATGACATAAGTTGGTTTGTCATGCAAGAATTAACACCACTGAAAAGGAAAACCTTTACAGTTTAAATGATAACACCACTGGAATGTAATTAGTACATCCAATCAGATTATGCTTACATAGGAAGCTATGCAGCGATATAAAGAGATTCAATGATTGTTTTCAATATTCCAGCCATTTAAAAGTACGGGAATTTATCAGCATTTTATTTTACCACATAGCCTAGTGAACAGCAGCTTGAGAGCAACTGTACTGACAGTTTTAAAGCTAGTAAAGATATGTTTTATTCTCCATCATAAATTGAGTTTATTTTCATTAGTAATGCCAATGCAAAGAAACTTGGCTAAGCTAGAGTGACCCTTAGTGGCTACTCATGGTACTGCAGCTGGAGACGCACCAGCTAATGATGTGGCTCCTTCATGATCACTGGTAGGCCAACAAAAGACAAAAAGAAAAGAACACAGTGAGCGTAATCAAGACCTTTTTGAACCCTTTAAAAGGCATAGAAAGAAAACAAATACCAGCCTGGTTCAATTACAAAGCAAAAATAGGCACAAATCTCACACATCATGATTTCTAGTCCAACATGCTTTGTTTTTGTTCACAGGTTGTAATATGATCCCGATTATGAGTGTAGCCTCTTCCCTATTTTTGGAAACAGTCCATGGAAATGGGGAAAAAAGGATAGCAGTCTGTCTTGCATCTAAGTGCAGACTACAGCAGCACTTAACAGGCCAGTTCCAGCATTTCTATTGCTTTAAACTCATACATTTAACACAGCAACATGTTTGACATTTGCAAGGTCGACCCATACAGCATTTATACAAGCAAACACAACTGTCCTTTTTTTGGTACATTACATAAAAGCAGCCTCTCTCAATCCACTCCTGGTGGTACTGGACATTAACAACAGGTTTGGAAAGTGCTCTAAATACTGGCAAGGGAAAGATCATGAATATATGTATATGAGTATATGAGAGGCTTCTCTACTGCAGGAAAGAAAGAACAGCTAGAAAACTGTACTAAGCCACCATCAAAAAGTCCAATATCTCAGATATACTGAGCGGGTTTATTAACTCACTACAATGGCTGAATTTTTGCCATGCTGAGGGCCAAATACTGTATGTTCCTCTATGATTCAAGTTCACATTAGTCATCCCGTGTTCATTACTATATGTAGAAAAATATGCTGATAATGATTCTGTTACAGCAGCAATAGTAGTAGTAGAATTCTCTCATCCTCTCTCTCAGAATCTCTGCACTAGTATTACAAACACACAGAAACACACACGCACACAGACGTTTAGAATGGAACAAAAACTGAGCACAGCTACGAGAGTCTATAGATCTATTTGAAGCTGGACACCTTGAATCTGCATTTCAATCAGCATAAATCAAGTTTCTGTCAAAACCCCACAGACGGATGTACACATCTCTCCATGATATATATTTCTATAAAACAGTCATGGCTTAAATTAAATGGATACATGAAGAATATAAAATGGCTTAATAATTCCCCATCCCATTTGCTTTACAAAGAGATCTTTCATCATTTTTTTTTCTTACAGAACATGTGTTATCAATCTAAAAAGCCTGGCTGAAAACACATATTTGTGAAATTTTGAGGACACAGCAGTCACCACTTGGGCAAACCACGTCAATGGTAATGGTACAGGTGTAATAGGTCTTGAAGCTAGACCTTAATGCATACATTCTAAAGCCTCCATTTTGTTTCTTGGGTACCTCTCTGAATTTAGTGGTGAATGATTCCATCACATCTAGTGCAGCGTAGAAATCACCTGAGTTTTCAGACAGGCTGTGTGCTAGGAGTGGTGGGTGGGAGACAAAAGGATGTAAAAAGGGGAGGAGGGCTGCATTTCATTGAGCCCATTCTGTGTTTAGGTGAGATAGTGGGTGGTAGTCCTGGACTCAGACAGGAGAAGGAGATGAGAATGGGAAGGCTGGGGGATGGGTGAGGGATGGATAGCTAGATGGATGATTGGATGGATAAGGCTCTGGTATACAATGTCATGGTCATCCTCGGTCACCTCCAGATTCATACGCACTGGCAGAAACAACGGTGCTCTCTCTGTTCCCTTCTTGAGCAGGCCATGGTGTCTGGCCCTCAGACAGCCTGTGTTAAACTCTGGTTCCATTCTCTGCGTGACTGCTACTCACTGTCTTGCTCACTGCATATCTCCCTGCCTGTCCCTGGCCCTCCCCTCCCTTTAAGCTCAAATATACTCATTTAAATTACACAGCTTAGTTCTCAGGTCCACAGGTTCAAGCAGATGGCTGTTGCATCATGGCCTCCCCTGGCAGGGGTGGTGGGTGTGGGGTTAATCGTCGACAGGTAACTTGTCATCCAGCGCTAGCTGACTGTCCTCCTGCTGTTCCTCGGCCTTCCCGGAGTCCTGGAGCTGCTGCCGGCGCTGCACCTCTGCCTTCAGGTTCTCCAGGTCCTTTTGGCTGTATTGCATCAGTAGGTATTAGTTACCGCAGTTGGTTGAAGCATATTTCAAAGATGACAAAACCTGGAGAACCTACCTGAGAGGAATAAAGATGATGCCATTGATGATGTTGAGCTGCTCCAGAACACTGGCCATGCTTGGAGCTGTGAACTGCACAGAGAACACCCCCCAAAAAATATTATTATCCCAGTCTACTACCAACTAACATTTGCGAATGTATGAATATGAATACTGGCCGAATGCTGAGGGGAACCAACTTTGAGAGGCATGATGCTGGCATTGGAGCCATTCTTGTAGATCTCATTCATGGTCCTCTGTAGTGCCACAGCCTGTTGGGTGAGGTACTTCAGATATTCAGAACTCTCCTTCGTCTTCTCATGGGCTTCACCAACCTACAAGCAAAATGATTGCTTACATATTTTTCTCTTTCCTCTACCAGGACAGAAATGACTGTTAAAAGTATTGATGTTTTATGGACAGTCACCATGGATAAAAAAAAAAAACAGGGCTGGGCAATGTCAACATTTACTATTATCCTTATAAATTACTAAACAATATGACATCAGTACTTCAACACAGTCCAACTGCATATTTCATTACAAAGAGA